GCTGCTTTTTTAGCTGTATAAATACCATCAGGGCCTGCAAAACTTACCTTTCCCCAAGAAAAGTTGGTATCATACACAACCATTCTGTTTGCAACATGTGGGGAGAAAACAGGGTTGACAGCTCAGTTCTGTGCATTGATATATTCAGCAATAATCATACACAAGCCAGAATACCAGCTGACAACCCACTCCTCAAAAAAAAACCGTTTCTGCATGCATACAATCCCAAATACTAAATACAAACATGCATTTACAGAAAAATATAAGTGAGTAATGAATTAATTAATTTTTCATCCATTCAATAGTGACTGATTCTCGGAGACTGCCTAGACAAGTCCCTGCAGTTCTCTTGGCAAGGTTTTTCAGAAGTGGTTTGCCATTGCCTCCTTCCTAGGGCTGAAAGAAAGTAACTGCCAATAGAGGCGAAAGTAACTGGCCCATGGTCACCCAGCTGGCTCTGTGCCTAGGCAGGACTAGAACTCAGGTCTCCCAGTTTCTAGCCTGATGCCTTATAGATAGTAATAAATATCCTTTAAAGCGCTGGATTCTACCACCACCCCCATTTTATCTTCCAGACCTAATGTTTTCCAGTTTATAACTTTATTTTCAAGCAAGGAAAAATCATAAAATGATTTTTTAAAATAGTAATTAATCTAAAGCAACACCACAAGCCTGGATATAAAAGATTCTGTCCTTGAAGCTGTATACGTGGCTTTCTTTTATTTATAAGCTAAACTAGTTCTTGATGCTCTCCTCTAAATCTTACACTATTGGTCAATTCAGACACAGCTGCATGATATTGTGTGAAAGCCGAATGTTTAAAACAAAAATACATAGGTGAATATTTTCTTTCCATATAAATATAACTAACTAAGCCACAAAGAAAACAACCTAAGCTTGGCCCTTCTTTGGGCCAACAAAATAATTGCATATGAAAAAAATATAATATTTTAGGGGGAAAAATATTTCTTTCTTATTGGGGGTGGGGATTGCAAGACTGTGCCATTGAAGAGGAATGCCTAGCAGACAA